CAATAGAATGTTTGCGGGAGCGGATGGGAGCATGCGGTAATGGTCAGAAGTTCAGCGAGAGCGTACGGTGGCCGTGAAGTGCAAAACAAATCATAATTCTGAAAACAAAAGAACAAATTACAAACGCAAATGCAAGTCTAAAAAACAAAATAACAAGCGGGATCAACAAGCCCCGCGCTATCAAGCAGCAGCGCAGTCAGTCAGTGAGCGCCGTAACAGATGACGTCAAATCTTGCGGGATTCAATAAATAAACTACACAGAACCCCACTATTCGACAAAATTTGATCTAAATTGATTTATCAACTTTTAATACCTTTTAAGACCCCGCGGACACCCTGTCGATGAAGAAGCAGAATCTCCTGAATGATCCCTGCTTGTCAAACTTACATTCATCCGTTTATTTGAGCTTAATAAGCGGACAAATCTATTAGTCAAACCAGTTTCCCTTGAATGCCACTAGCCTAATTACCCGGCTACTTCCAGCACAAGTCCTCTTTGACACATTTATAGTGTTAATAACAACTCTTATATGTATGTTATCTAGCAAAGATGATCAATGTTCCATACGAACCTCCGCGGGCTGCTCCTCGTGAATGACTTTATTCTCTTCTTGAGTTGCTATAACTCCGGTTGAAAACAACACGACGTTCAGTAGAATAAGGAAGCACATAATTCGGCCACCGCCATGCCGCACGCCGGCCCGAAGAGTCATTTTAAGGGCTGCCTAATACGGCTTCTGCTGCGGTAATACTTTGCAAATCAAGCTAATAAAATCGCTAATTTATATACATTAACGTTTCGTCGTTACGATCCAGCTAGCCCACCGTAGCCATCTTCCCGGAGAGGCCGATACCAAGGCAAAGACAAACAATCGGTTGAAAAGTCACCGCGATTGGTCACCTGGGAGATAAACGTGTACTAGAGGTATACGTCACTGAAATTGAGGTAGACTATTGGTCGAAACGTCATTCCCAATGATGTGTGTTAAGAACGACTTCAAGGTAGGTAGAGTTGCAACGCAAAAGGGAAATATGAAATTAGAGACTCACTCAGCTCACAGAATAATTTATAGACAAGAGTTTGCCTTCTCTTTGTTACACATTTCTGAAATGTAATTACTAGAAGCTGATTGGAAATGGTAGTAGATATGGTTTGCTTAAAGTGCAAATTCCATCTTGTTTACACCACGAAGTTCAAATATTGATAGACGCTATTCATATAGTTGGCTTACGTGTAAATAGAAGATCAAATCTATTTTTCTCTAAGGGAAAATTGTCTGAACAATGGTGGGTACATAAACACTTCTATACACTGTTTTGCAGTACTGTCCTCAAGATTATTGAAACGAATGCAGAAACTAATTCCTAAACTTGTAAAATCTTGAAATACGTTTAAATGTCCATTTGTTTAATCATTATTAGCATTGCTGCTTAATCATTGACATTTTATAATTGTTAACCTTTCTCTATTTGTATTTGCTTATGGTTTGTCCTATATATGTTCTTGTACATATGTACAAACAACACTGTCATCAGTTGATCAATAGCAGGAAACAGGCAGAAAATATGTCTCTCAGTTGATTCTCTTGTTTTAACAAGTCTAAATTCTAGACGCTGAGGAAGCTGGCTTCAGATAGTTAATATGTGGTTTTTAAGTCATTTGCTGACATCTCACAATAACGTCTCTAAGCAAGCAGCTGTTGTCCATCACCTTTTGAGGTCAGTCTGTGTCATGGCAACAGTACATTTCGGTCATGTTGTGTGTATTTCCCTCCTTGCCCTGTTCCTTACACATTAAACATGCATGATCAATGTGTCAGCTGTTCCCATTTAAAAGAGAGACATTAAGATTATCTATGTTTTTGTTTAGTTAATAGTTTATTAATTTGATTCTTATCTCCATATAAAAGAGCTTATTACACAAAAATCACAGGACAAAAGGAATAAAAGCTTTGCGTTGACGTGGATACATCTCAAACTTGCTCCTGTAGTAATCATGACAGAGCTGTGCAGCCAGTGCCTGGTTACAGAGTACATACAGTACCACCAGCCACCAGGTTAGAGAACTGCAGCCACAACAAACACTCATGGCAACATAAATCAGAAGCTCAGCCAAGTAATGTGGACAAGAGACCAGCTCAAACCAGCCCCCGCATGGCATCTTGTGGGCCAGGGTCTCTACTTTACCTATATTGGATAGAGGGAACAAAGATTTAATATTAGTTTATAAATAATACTTGTTACAAGAAGAATTAGTTTAAACTTTTTTTCTCAAGGAAACTCCAGCGGTTTTCTACCTGAGCTGTCAGTCCTCATCTTGGCCAGCAGTGAGAGGGACCGGTTCTGGAGGAATGATGCCCAGATGAAAAGAAGAGTCCCGATTACATGATGCCATATGAACTGATCAAAGAGAGACCCTGGCATTGCAGAGACAAATACACAAATAGTTAGTAAAATTCAGGAAAACGTCAAGATACATTTGGGCTGATAAGTACTTAAATATTTTTGGTCAAGTTAACATGAATTAGATATTGAGTTTTCAATTTGGAGGTGCATTTTAGCTAAAAAAATTAAATTAAATAAAAAATATGACAAAATGATGACAGGATCGGATCTAGGAAACTGTACTAACCTGACTGTGGCAGAGAGGCATTTATAGACAGGACAGTTAGACCAAGCAAGACATAGTAACCCAAACCAAATGCATATTGAACTACATGGATCACACCATTAGAAAATATGCTGACAAACAGGCACTCCAGTAGCCGTCTTACGGAATGGACCCATAGTAGCACTTGTAAAAGCAGAATGGAGAGATGTAGCTCTGAAAAGCACACATAATTACGCATGTGAATATTTATTGGAAGGTAAATGTAAAGTATATTGCAACAAATTCAAGCAGAAAAATATTAAAAATGTAAAGTAAAAAAAATACAGGATCTCCCTTAAACAGTGTACATACAGAGCATTCAGAATTTTCCTGATTTGGTAACTATTATCACGGTTTTACTATAGTAACAAACTGGTTGCCATTGTTTAAAAAAGAAAGATGAAGTGGGAGGGGAAAACATTATTTGCTATTTGAAGTACAGTACCTTTCCAAGCAACTCTTGGTCTGCCAGTCAAACACCAAAGCGCGTCAATTAGCCAATCAGGGAGAGCCTCATTCATGACGACAGAACGTATGGAGAATAGTAGGAGGAGCCCATTCCACATGACAGACGCCGCGTAGAAATGATAGAAACACCTAAAGACAACATCAGAGAAAATGTTTCCTGCATAATCGCCTTGAGTCTTGACATGCTCAAAACATGATATCTGGGGAATTCAGAGTCATTTAAAACTACATTTAATCCCGAATCACCTCTTTGATACGTCAAAAACAAGCTGCCAGTTTGGGCGCTTGATGTCTTCTTTAGTTTTTCCATATCGGATTAAATCCTGAAACACGTGCTCGAGGCTGCGAGGCAGTTTCAGGGAAAACTTACAGAGAAAAAAGGCTGTTATAAAGCACAGCGCTAGCAAAAACCATATAACATTAACTATTGCTATAGTGTCGAGCATCGCCGCAGCATCATACTGCCGTCCTGTCGTGTAAAGATACCGAGTGAAACAAATACTGGGTATTTTAGGTTCCACTCACACACACACATTAATTTGCTGATAGACACCACCGCTTCATGTTCAGGTAATATGTGCCATGATAAAACCCACAAATAAGAAACACTTCTGCATGTCTCTATATATACAAAATCTCTTCAAAATATGCAGCTATATGTATCAATGAATACGAATGTTTCATTAAAACGAGCTTTCGCTGACTTTATTCCTCACTGTTGTCATACAAACGTGGAGAAACAGCTATCACAACGCCACTGATAGCAAAAACATTACATGGTACAATATGTTTCTAAACTATTTGTTAAAATGTACAGCGGTGTATATAAGTGTGTATAAGCAGCAGTGATCTGAAGCCGGACTCTGTGCTAACAGCACACATTAGGGGAAACCCTTTGAGTCGGAATATGAACCTTTCATTTGTATTGACTGATTTGAACAAGTGAATCAGAGCCCATTCAAACCTTCTGGTTCTTCTTCTTTCAGGTTTAATGGCGGTTGGCAACTCATCTCAAAGGTGCATTACCGCCACCTACTAGACTGGAGTGTGGGCATTAGACTGACATCAAAGGAGAGGTGGAGAGGAAAAAAATAAAAAATAAATAAATATTAAAAATAAAAAAAAACTCTATTAAATTCTTTCACTTAACCCACTGTTTTTCAAAAATAACATTAATAAATTGTGTATTCTCCCAGATGCTTTCCCTAATAAATGCTCAAGTGTCATGCTTTGTTCATCCATTTGTGCCTTTAATTCTGCCCTATCTTCTTCATATTTTTTGCAGTCTAACAGTATATTAATTGAATCGGATTCCACTCACCAAATGACAACCCCTCCTGAGATAGTTTCATGATCACTTTATATTCTTCTTCTCGTTGTTTACTTGCTATTGTCATACTTTGTTCACTATCTGTTTCATCTATATTAGATGTTACTTTCTCCTTTTTTTTCCGTTTTCTTGATCGCATTACATTCCAAACACTCCTATCTCTCCCGCCTTCTTCTTCAAATCCCATCTCACTTCCTGTCTCCTCACTTCCTTCCGCCATCTCCTGCCCAGTCACAGTCTAGCTGTTGCCAACCACCCGCTCCACGAACTGATCCAAGTGTGAGGACCCTGAACCGCCCCATTCAAACCTTCATTATAGATCTTTAAAATGTAGTTTCAAAACCGCCATTTGCAGTTCTACCTATGAACACAAGGGGGCAGCAAGAAAAACAGTAATTTTACAGAAATGCATTGGTTCACTGGATTAACTGGTTTGAGGATGTTTTGAATTGACTCATAATAGTCTGTACACATGACTATAGGAGAGAGTGGTCTAAATTGCGGCACAATATATATGTATGTATGTATGTTTGTGTGTGTGTTTCTAATTATTGTAATTCAGTATACAACAATTAAAAAAAAATTTTTTTTACCCTTAATGGGGTTCTGATTTAGTAGTAAAAACAATAAAATTTTAATAGATGTTATTTCTTAAATAGAAATATATTAATAGCTGAATTAGCTGAAAAATACATAAAAAAACCTGTCAACTTGAGATTTTAATCTGTGGCGGAAGGAAGTACTTCTGCACTTGAGGAACTTTTAAAGACACTCTGTTGTTTTTTTATTTACACACTTGTGTCGTCAAACTGTTGTATGAAAGCAATATCACACTCGTAGCCGTGCAATATGGCTCTATATCAGCACGGTTGTGATTACCTATGGTACTCGGCCTGTGGCCTTGTGGATTTAAAATGTGTTTTTGAAGTTAATATTTCACTCATTATCTTTTACTATTAATGGGATTCTGATTTATAACAGGAAGTAACACAATGACCAGACTAGGACAGTATGTGTTTGTCTGTTTGCCTGTACAGTTTGTCTGCCAATGGAAGGAAGCCTCATTCCTCACTTGAGCCATTAACTATACCATATGTGTTCAGTCAATAAAAGAGTGTGTGTGAAAGAGGGTAAACCAAAGCCTCTAAAGTATTTGACTCCAGGATGCCTCATAGAAAAGGCAGGTTTCCTATCTGAGGATGTGTGCAGTGTTTCCTGCCCCCTCCCAACTCTTCCTCACTGTCCCCAGTGCTGGACCCTCATTAGGCTCCCTTATTGTCATTCCTCTCCTCTTTCCATCCTTTTATCCCCCTGCCCATCCATCCATGCTGCTTCTCCAATCATTTTTCAATGGCCTCCTTTGCATCTTCCGCTTTGCATTCCCCAAACACCCAAACACACACACACTAACCCCATTTCTTACAATACC